AAAAGTAGATTTACTCGAAAAACAAGAGGCTATAACACCTTTCCAAGGCACAGAGCCATTTTGTGGACTGGTAATGAATAGCCACCTCATGAAAGAAATGGACCAGATGGAGAACGAACCAAATGCTAACTCATTGAAGATCCAATCGGCGTCTGAGACAGGCAAAAAGGTTCACATTCGTCTCAGTAAGAAGATCTGAAAAACTTCTAGACACGAATAGATACGCTAGAACAGTTGTCGGCCTATACTCACTGGACATTGCCCAGTAAAAAATTACCTAAAAAAGCAAATCAGAAAGCAAGGAATGATTTGGGAGAAGCCTACAAGTCTTAGACACTGGTTGCATTAGGCCGAAACAAATCTAGATGCAATTCAGAATCGATCTAACTTGTAGATTTGTAGGTTTCTGCGGTCGTTTGTGGCTCTTCACTTGATATCTAGTGTAGCGCTACTCTGGTTTTCAGGACGGTTAAGGGATTTTCGGAGAACTCGGGCGCCACCCTTAGGATTATAGTGGTTAAGGGCCCACGTGCACCAGGTAGCTTTTAACAGTGGAGACGGAAAACCAGAGGTCAATATGCGCATCCCCAAAATGAAATACAAAAATGTAACCAACAAATTGAGTTTATTACGTCGAAAATAATAAATGCAATACGTAATAAAAATGATAGAAAAGGTAATATTCAATGAACTGACGGAATGACGAAAAGAGAGAGAGAAAGCGAGTGTGTAAACGAATACTAGCGTGCCTTTAAGGTTATGCGGTGGTGAACGCGAAAGCTTATATGGGACGGTACGCAAGGGTGAAAAGCTCTGCAGGTCCACTCTCGGTGGATCCAGCTCCTTCAGCCGTCAGAGCTGGTGTTCTGCATGACGTATCTTAGTATACAAAGGTCAGAGAGAGCCACCCTGTAAACGTTCCAGCTCGTAACCCCCTCAAAACCGTCACATAAAGAATAGAGCCACCCTGTAAACGGTCCAGCACATTTAATCCCTGTATCCCCCTGTATAGCAAGAGCATCATGCACGAAAGAAACGTGTTACAGTTCAAAATTCACTGTATCAATTTGTTAGTTTTATATAAATTCTCATTTAATATTGTATTCCAAAGCTCTAAGATTGTTTTTAATTAATATCCTTTTTATTTTAATCATTTCATGGACATAAACAATTCATTTTCCGACAGGTTGGCAGGGGGCTTCTGTTTTCCTGTATTCTTGTTTTGTCGGGGAAATATTCCTTGTGGGACTGCGTCTGAAATGTAAAAGGATGACTTAAGATGAAATAGAATTCAATTTCAATACTTACCTTTATTAAAAATTGGGGCCCAGTGCTTTGTTTACCATCCGTTAATTATTGGGTTATGATTTATTATTTTGACACTTGAACTTGATCTTGATCAGCTGTGTGCTCCGAACACTTCGGTTTTTATTATTTAGCGGTCTTGGGATGTCGCACAGGTGCTTGGAGTAAATGGGTCAAGGTTTCACCGATAAATCAGTCATTGGCGTAGTTCACAGAATTGTTACTGTGTTGCTGTCTGTAGCAACATTAAGTTTTCTTCGTTTTGTTCATGAATTGAAATTTTCTGTGTAAATTATAATTTAGCTGAGGAAATTGACAACTGGTTGAGATTTTAAAGAGTTCTATTGTGTTTTGGGACTGTATGGAAATTATTTTGAGTTTTGGCAACTGACCCAGAGAGACGAGTCGTCCCTGGTTCTGACCATGACATTGCAGTTTGTCATTAGGGGGGAAATTGAACCTTTCAAGTTCTTTCTTCGGTCTTTTCTACCCCAACTTTCAGCCTGAATGGTCGTTTTAGCTGCTAAGCCTTCTTGAGTCCTAGGATTCGCCTTTGTACTGAAGGGATTTTGGCTGCAGTTTTTCGCGTGGAATCCGTTTCTTTGGTTTACTGGATAAACCGCAAGTTGTGCTGGAGGCACGTGTAATTTTGGATTTCCACAAACCTTTTTGTAAGGGATTTTTGACCACGTGACTGGTAAGTTATCTTACTTTTGCTGCCCAAGAACCACATGGTTCTTGGCTACACATTTCCATACTATTACCTAATTTCTCGTCACTTACAGAGAGTTGGTCCCAAGGGCTTATATGTCCATTTTTGTCCTGCCTTTCCGCCGTCTTACGTGTGCCTTGATGGTGATATTAGGGAGATATGCCCTTTCGACAATTACGGTGTTGCCGGATGAGGAAATGATGTCCTTAGGCGTTGTAGGAATGTGATTGTTGGAAGGTATGTTTTTATCTATTTTTATATATTAGGGAGGGAATAAAATAAAGGGGTTTTTGCTTAATAAAATCTAGATGATGGGCTATTATGAAAGCGCCATTTGTGTGACGTTAAGTTCATTCTAAATGTGCAGACTTCGTAGACCCGGCTTGTCGAGGCCGTCTAGTGCTAGTCTTTGTGCTGTCAAAGCTAGTTATAATTTAATATAGTTCTGGAATTAAGGCTGAATACCTTTTTCTAGGGCGTTGTTTTTGGTTGGTGTCTTGTTCCGGTGTCTGACGTTGATGTCTAAATCAAGTCTAGTGTTTGGTGCACAATGCACGTAGCTAATGGGTAGCAGTAGCAGCTGATGTAGCTTCTGGACGTTTCTCATCCTTTCCAGGCTGGTTGCTGATTTCATTTTACCAGCAGGATTGAGTAATGTATAACTGCTCTATTTTATTTCTTTCATAATAATTAGAATGATGCTCAAGAGTTGAATGTTACTAAGGTAGAGTGTTTTATTATATATCTAGTTACATATTTTCTTGGCATTGTCATGCTATAAATATAATCGTCTTGCGCCTGGTATACCATGGTATTTTAGGGGATGATTGTGCATATTTATAATTAAAGTTTAAATGTCTAGCGTAATTGGTTAATTGCCCTCATGTAATCAATACGTTGACCTTATGTGAACACGACTTTATTATTTAGTGTAATATTTTGATGTTGATTATTATTGTTATACATTTGCTTACATTTCAACTGTTACCTGTTATCTAATCTATTGCCCAAAGCTACATAGGTTTAGTAATTAAATATTGTCCTTTGTTTTGAACTTGACTTTTATTGATTCCTTCTGCTGAGAACAATGCCTAGGTCCAAGAGACCCATGTTTAGTAAGTACTACTTTCTTTATCATTATATTTTTGAGCTAGCTGGTGTTATAACTGGGAAATTTAGGTTATAAACGATCTGTGTGAAGTTTAGAATACTGAAGATACATTGATATAATGGTAACTAGTGCCACCGTGTAAACGGTCCAGCGCGTAACCCCCATTGTCCGTCACAGACAGAATAGGGCCGTAACCCCATTCAGTCCTTGTACACCACTGTATAAAAAGTAGTCCCACTCACCCAGATCGTACGATTTAATGAGGCGTCGCGATGGCGCTGATGACGTCAGAGCGGAATCCAAGCTAGCGGCTTACCTCGGTGGTCGGTGGTCTAGGCGCTGGTGGTCTGGGCTGCTGGTACCTGTGAACAAAAGAAGAAGAGTCCATTTGTGGCCGCGCACCGGCTTTTATTACCGGTCGTCGTACGGCGAAGGTGGGCACGGCAGTGGGAAATTCCGAGCGACTGCGATGCGGGACGAATGTGTGATGCGTTCGGCGTTCAGTTCTATTGGATCGTACGGTTTCAAGCAAGGTCACGCGCAAAATATTATTCAAATTAATTATCATGTAGAATTATTCCGGCCGAGGTAATTAACTTAGAACCACGGTAGCAATCATTAAAATACCCGGAAAATTATACTAGACATGAGATTCTTATAGGCAGAGATAACCGAACTCGACAGATAGCGCGAAGTGTCGGCTCATGTGGAGCAGGCTTTGGAAAATTGAGCAACTCTAAAATCCAACAATCAAACTTGTTTGGAGAGGGAAGGTTCCTAGTTAAAGCAGTGTGTCCTTCCTGTGTTAACCTACGGAGCAGAAACATAAACACTAACAAAAAAGTAGTTGCACAGAGAACCATGCATGGGGTAATGGTCTTGGCTAATGATAGGCCAGGGGTCAATTCTGGACGAATTTATTTGATGATAATCTAACCCTAAGTTTAGTGTTCAGAACAAAGGTGCTACCTCTTTCATTCAGATTGGTTGCCACATGTCTTTATCACTTTTTATGTCCCAAACAAAGACCGAACATGGGCATTTGTCATTTCTTATAGACAAGATTCTAATCGGTCCTGACCTCTACTTGAAAAAGTGACCCAAGTTCTAATTTCTTGAGTTAGTTTTTCGCGTTGAAAGCATCTCAAAATGTTTAGATGTGAAACTGATTTTTTTATATTGCCTGTAGAATTCTGCAATATTTGAATACAGACGTTAATGAAGTTAGGTTATCACCCAGTTTTTTCCAAGTTTGGGATACCAAGGGCGCTTAGCATGGGTGCGATCGATTCCGTACGAACAGTATCAAAATGATTCATTGATGTTATTAAAGTTTTATTGTTTTTTATTTCTCTGAACTTCCAAACAGACAAAAATCATAAATTTTATCTGAGTTTTATTAAGAAATAAACTCAGTTATTTACCTGCCTTTCTACTAGAGAAAGGAGCTGCGGTATAAACAAGATTTATTATTAGGTTACCTGAGGGCATCACCTTGTTTTGCTATCAGACGCGGGCATACATCATAGTTTGCTCTTATTTATTTTGGTTTCCATTTTCTAGTATTGTTGCAGCTTATGGATAAACATTATTTACTTATAAAAGAACAAAAGTTTCTCAACTCATGTAATGTATTTTTGCTCATTATTCAAATTAATTATCTGGCAAGTAGGTAGGTACCTTAATTATAAATTCTGTATACCGAATTGTAACCCATAGACAGTACCTAATTTCAGGATCCATAGGATCTAAGCTATAATTTATAAAAAAACATCAAATGTAATATAACTTTTATAGGATGGAATTTGAAAAAATTAAATCCACTGTATAAATGTACCTACTTAATCATGATAAGTTTCTCTTTTTGTTTAGGCCACATTAGCCATTCTCGATAAACTGGACATAGACGCAGAACGTCCCAACGATGAAGAAGTGGCAAGAATGTTCGGGTACGAAGAAGCTTACCATGCTGGTACCCTTTCCAGATGGCAAAAATTTAAACCCAAAGTCTGGGCACTATTCGATGAACCGTATTCGTCATCGTCCGCCAAGGTACCTCCGCTCAATGTGCAACACCGAAATGTGAATATTAATTTTATTACTAACAATTTTTTTCAAACTTTCTCTCGCTTTTGTAGCTTTGTCTTGTTGTTTGTGTTATTTGTTGCATGAAAATTCTCTTCACGCTTTAACACCAACACCTAGCGGGGTAAAATAATTCACATCAATACCCACATAACACACAAGGCAGTTAAGGACTTTTCAACCTGACGCAGGAAAGAGGAAAATCGCGTGCCTGTGTTATTTCAGTTTGCAAATCTTAACGTTATTTGTTTTCTTTTGACTTGGCGAACGTACAAATTGAATTTTTCGGCGAGCCGAGCTAACGCAATATTGTCAAATAACGTTGCGGTCCATGAATTTCTCGAATTGATTTATTTGCTCGTACGCTCTGGGAAAGTTTATTGGGTTTTTGATGATTCATAAAACAAAAATGAGCTTTTATGGATTTATATTAGTGGATGAGACAGATGGAAAATTTAATATAACTATACTTGTGTTGGTAATTTTATTGCGGGTGCAGGATTTTTTCAAAATTTTGTTTGTATTCTTGAACAAAAAACGAAGGTCTCTACTAATTCTCTTCATGTATCGCTACTCTATGTCTATGTCTGTTATTTTCTCTCGAGCAAATTTGGCTCCATGGCTCGCCTACAGCGATTTAATTTTCGCCCCTTCTCAAACTACGCCAGGGACCTTAGTTCATTTTCTCATTTCCTTGTTCCGGATCTGCCTCGAAGTGAGATACCGAGCATGGATCCATCCATAGCTCTTTGAGAAGTTGACATTAAGATTAGGAAATGCTTTTGTGAGGCATGTCGTTTCTAGTTTAGGGTTTTGTGCTGGTAAGAAACATGTGTTATAAGCTTCATGTTTGATATTTATTGGAGTTTTATAGTAGTTTGACATTTTTGATAGTTTTTTTACCTTTTCCATGATACATGAAAAAGGTATAACTATGCACATGCAACACTGTTTTGGCGTTCTACACGAAACACTTCTCCTACTCCCTGAGATACCATTCACGGAGTCATGTCGATGAATCATCACTTTTTTTTTCTTTCATTGACTATTTAGATTCAGGATTCAACATGGAAGGACTGCGGGTTCTCTTAAGAAAGATATTATTTGAACATTGATGCTGGAGAAGTTTCAACAGATTTCAGTGAGCAATGAAATATTTGCGATTTAAAATTAAACGATGGGCATTAAAAAAACATTGAGATCATATACAAATGAACGCCTATCTGAATGTAATATTTGTCAAAAGAAATTTAAGCAGAGAGATTATTTAAAAAAGCACGATACATCTAGATAAATTGAATTTTGTATGTGACATTTGTCACGAAAAATATAAATGCATGAATGGAAAGGAAAGTGAGTGAAACACTCAGATAACGTGATATATGTCAGAAAAAATCGAACCAGATTATATCATATCTTTATTGGTTTTTGTTTGCTTCTAGCTGCTAATTGCTCACTGTTTTTGGAATGCAGTCAGTATAAGTTTAGGATGGGTGTGGTTGAAAGATAGGAGCAGGAAGGAGCGAACCCAGTCTGATTTCGTATGCTCTTTAGGCATGTGTTGAATATTCCATTCCCCATAATTGTTGAGGTTGGGTATATTATGGTAATGCACTTCGTCAACCTGTTGCTCCATTCGGTAATATTATTATTATACACTTCAAGAAACGTTTTTTTTATGGACGCATGCATATTATATGGCAGCCTCGGAAATGATTCCATCGATACCCGGTGCTTTTTAATTTGCATTATTCTAGAATATGTTTTTCTCTATTCCTTTTTTGTACTCCATTGTAATTTTTTCACTGGATCTTCATTACGTTATAGAGAGTAAATGTCTGGCATTATTCTGCTATTTTCTCTTTGTTTTTTCAAATCCAAAGCCATCATTGCAGAGTTGCTTCTGCTGAAGTTCATCCTCAATCGGGCACCTTCCGTCTTCCCACATAATTCATAAGACTGCTTTCATTAGTACGCATACTCTTGTTCTTATCGCTAATTTATGTTCACAGGAATTTTGCTTCTTTCATTTGTCAAGATTTTCGATTCGCCTTCTCCACTTCTTTGAGCTTAGTCTGTCATTGGACCTGCTTTTCTTTTCGTAGAGATGTTGCCCGACACCTTGCTCCCGAGGAAACAGGTAATATATGAACTAGGACAAGGCTATACTCATTAGACTACCAATGCCGCGACCTATCAATCAGGTCAAATCCTAGTGGAATGTAACCTCCCCAGACAAGGGATTGAATTATTCGGGATAAAATGGTTGGCTTCTCTGTCGATTTATTCCGGTAGTTCATAGAGTGTTGCCGAAGGTATATTGCATATCACTCCCCTAAATTTTTGCGGGCAAATACATGAATGCCTTCTGTCACTTACTCTCCAAACTAACCTCTTTTTTTTTTGTAGGGATTAGGAAATGCTCTCGCACGAATTAGGGCATTGATGTTCTGGCGCCCCAAGACATTGTGGGACTCAAACCCACTAAAACCCTTCCCCTAACGTTGGCAACTGCGTCCAATTGGAACCGCTTACGTATTACTTCAATCGAGGCAGTGAGTCTAGAGTCTAGTGATGCATCCGTTTTTAGTATTCTGGATTTTCTTCCGTCAATCTTTCGTCAGTCATCTTGGTCTTCAGGATTGTATGATCCATCTTATTCACTTCGCTCCAATTGTGTTGGTTCTCCGTCACTACCGCTATAAGATTGTCTGGAGTGAACCTTGCCTCCGTGTTGTTGAAGCACGCTTCCCTTTCCGCATTCCATTGTCTACAATGGAAAAAGGTGTGCTCAGCGGCTGTCATCTGCTATAAGTATAATCTCTAAGGGTCGAATTTATAATCGTTCCTTAAGGCTTCCTTAGACCTTAAGGCATCCTTTAAATAAAATCCTGTTTTATAGTCGGATAAGGAAGCCTCAAGGATCCCTTAAGTCCAAGGTAGGTCTAGAGCTACCTTGAGCCTCCCTTTGCTGATGCGTTTTTTTATTTTCAATGGCAGATTTGTATTTTTCTATTAAGTTTATTAAAAATACTTTTTCTTGATGGAAGTAAGAATAGTAAGACACTTTTTCTACTCATTTCTGATTAAATTGAAAATTCTGAAAATTAGCCAGGGCATACCGAACTGGCATACATTTCGATTGTGTCATACAATCGAACACGCGTCAATAATATACATTTGCTAATAATAATAGTTGCTCTAAAGTATTATTACTTAATAATAAGTACAAATATACATATATCTTGAAGAAACTACAGCATATTTTAATTTATTGCCAGTTAAATCTTCACGTTTGATTGCATTTAATCCAGCGTTATCTTCTGATTTTTAATAATTCGTTCTGTTAAACTTTATCAGGATGTTTCCGATTCAGTTGCGATGGTATTTTATAAAATTTAACGTTGTCGCGTTCTTCCCTACTACCACATTTCTCTACACAACAAAATTCGGGCATTTTACCAATATTTTTGCGCACTTTGTCTTTAACATTCGCCTGCCCGGCTAACTTTTGACAGCCGCCGTTTTTGACAGGTCGTATAACCTAACCTTTCTGTCAAAAAAGCATTTGATTACACAGTTGCCATATGTAATCTTTCCTTAAGGGAGTCTCAGTGAAGGGAGCGACTTAAAACAAAGAAGCTAAGGACTCCTTAAGGCAGCCTTCAGTAAGGGAGCCTTGAGGACGCCTTCAAGGAATGACTATAAATTTGACCCTTAAGCATCCGTGTCCTGTCAGCAATTGCGTCATGTAGTGGTCCGTGTCCCCATGTTTCCTGTCGAGCCATGTTGCCATATCGGTAATGAGTCTGGCCGTCCATCTCCCTTTGTTGCTGGAGCGCCATCTTTCCTGTCATTTTAGTAGCAGTGTTTCTTTGCTTTGTCTTCGTGCTGCGTTCCTTTCCGGAGCGTCAGCCTTTGAGATGGCAATCGCCTCTTCTATGAGCAGGTCGATGGGTGGGAATTCGGCTAAAACTAGGAGCGCGTCCGTAGACGTGGCTCGGTAGGCGCTGGTGACCCGGATCGCCGCCTGCCTCTGTACCCTTTCATATGTCAGTAGGCTTACCTTTCTACCAATCGCCACTCCCCATGCCGGTGCAGCTTACAGCAGTATGGATCTGCTCACCGAGCATATGAGCCTTCTCTTGCAGGCCCTTGGGCCTCCGATGTTAGGCATCAGCCTGCTTAGCGCCATCATTGTGTTGCCGGCCCTGGTCGCCGTTTTCCGGATGTGTGATCCAAAACTCAGTTTTGCATCTAGCCACACTCCTAGGTATTTTATTTCCTTCTTCGTGGTGACGTCTTTGCCTCTGAGGTTCAGGGTAAGCTCTGGCGTTTTCCTCTTACGTGAAACTAGTAGTATTTCGGTCTTTTCCATGGCCAGCTCTAGGTGATTGTTCCGCAACCATTCCTCGATTCTCACCATTGCAGTGTTCGCCTTCAATTGCACCCCCTCAGTGTCCCTGGCCAGCACTATTAGTGCGATATCGTCTGCGTAGCCAATGAGGGTGACTCCATCCGGTTGTCTTAGGTTAAGGAGTCTATCGTACAGGAGATTCCACAGTGTGGCGCCAAGAATGAAGCCCTGTGGAACCCCGCACGTCATGGGTATCTTCTTAGATTCGTCGTCTGCTTCTATAAATATGTTCCTATTAGTTAGGTAATTTTGCAGTAGCTTTACCAGGTATGGAGGAGCATTTCTCCGTTTCACCTCGTTTATGATTTCCGGCCAGGACGCCGAATTAAAGGCGTTCCTGATGTCCAAAGTTATCACGACGCCGATTCTCCTGTGTCTGTGTGATCTTTTGTATATGCCGTACTTGATTATTTCTAGTAATTTTTGTATCGCTGACGTTGTTGACCTGCCACGCCTGAAGCCGAACTGCCTGGCAGAGAGGTTCTCCTTTAAGTTTAGTTCTTCCGCCAGCCTGGCGAGGATTATATGTTCCAGCAGCTTCCCGGGAGTATCAAGCAGGCATAAAGGTCTATATTTCTGC